CTGTCTCTTATACACATCTAGATGTGTATAAGAGACAGCCCCCCCCCTTTGTTGCAATCCTGCATTTGGTTACAATTCTAGGAGAGAACTGAAACTTTTGCAGACTCTGCTGCGGGTCCGAAGAAAACAATGATGCACAAGTCAATGTCCGTTACATATATCGCTTACAACGTTGAACACTGCCGAGTTTCTCATCACTCCGTGTAGGCTACCCCCCAATCACGCCGGTCGTCTTGCCTGGGCCAGCCTGAACCAAGGCCCTAACGCCTCTTAGTCACTAGGGAAAGCCCACTCTCCACCGCCGTGCAATGTCTCTTCATCATTTCGGGGATAAGCCTTAGCATCGTAACCCCATCACCCCAACCTCTCGATGACCGCCTCTTGTGGTCTCAGGAGACGTGCATGTCGGTTCCTTTGGAAGAATCGGGTAGTTCGTCGGAGGAGGACGAGGGTCGAGAGACCAAGTACACGCTTCCCGACGGCACCGAAATCGAGGTCAGTGTTAGAGGTTTGGATATTCGTTTGAGGTCAGGAGTTTTAGAAATCTGAGTACAATGTGTTGGTAAGAAATTAGGTCAGTGTTGAGGTTTTGATCGTTTAAGGTTGGTTTTGGTGGTTTGACGTCAATGTCAAGATTTATTAGTCTCAGGTTAGTTTTAGTCATTTTGAGGTCAGTAGCAGGGTTGTTGTAAATTGCTCTGTTTTGCTGCATCAATAAACTAGCTTCCCGACGGCACCGACATTGAGGTTGGGATTTTAGTATTTTGAGGTCAGTGCTTAGGTTTTAGCAATTTGCTCGGTTGCTGCGTTATTAGAAAAAATTCCCGACCAGCCCCGCGATTGCTGTGTACAACAGTAGGCAGGTCGTGGGTTTTTTACCCGCTTCGTCCACCCACCCTATATTTTTGTGATATCTTATGACATTTTATGATACCTCCACACAGCGGCATGAATACGTTCTGTGTTGCATTGTGTGGCCACACTATCCCTTGCCCGCACCACTCAGCTGACGGACGAGCTCCGCCACATTCCGGAGTTGTTGATGGAGTCCTCGGCGATGACTCCGCTCCACAAGCATAAGGACAACCTGGCCCTCGACCTTCCCCTGCCGGCACTCATGAGAAGGCAAGATTTTTTCGTCTTTTTTTTTTTTTCCCGTCGTTTTTGGTGCCGTGGGCTTTAGACGCGGGAAAGGAGGTGGTTGCGAAGTTAATAATTTGCTCGGAAAACGAAAAATAGGAAGTCAATCACAACACGTGTGTTTCTGTGTCATGTTCGTTCAACACCCTCCGCGCTTATGTCTCTCGATGTCTGTCTGTCTCTCCCTCCCTCCCTCCCTGTCTGTCTGTCTGTCTGTCTGTCTCTGTCTCTGTCTCTGTCTCTGTCTCTCTCCCTCTCTCTCTCTCTCTCGCTCTCGCTCTCTCCCTCTCCCTCTCCCTCTCCCTATCCCCCCCTTCCCTTTTCTCTGCCTTTGTATCAGGGCGTTGGAGCAGTCCGACGCGGACGCTCGCAAGGAGATGGTGGGTAACGTGGTCCTGACCGGAGGCGGCTCGCTCTTCGAGGGCATGCCGGAGAGGATCACGTCCGAGCTATCCAGCTCCCTGCCCTCGGCCTTCAAGGCGAGTGCTCCTCTTCTACCACCAGAGGAGGAGTGCCTTAACGAGGCTTATATCTGTAAAATAGAGAGGGGGCCTACGTACTCCTAACCCCAACCCCCAAGCAAGCCCAACGTTCCTTGCGAATGCTACTGTAACAGGAGGAGACCTATTATAGTGCCCACCTCTGTCCCGAAGTCTTTGCGGGGGTGTGGTGGGTCCTTGGGGGCTTCCCGACCGTCGGGGTTTAAGGCGATCGACTACCTCCTCTTTCCTGGACGGGGAGTATTGTATCGCCCAAGCGCCCGACTTTTGCCTTACCCCTAGTCTCGACCCTTCCCGTTGTCGCTCGAGGCCGGTAGTCGATCGGCTCACAAGCTCCCCGCTCTCAAGTCGTAAAAGCGAGTTAACCCGAAGCCTAGGCCTAACCCTCCGCTTACCCTCGAAAATATGCGCTCGTTTTTCGTTTGGTGTTCAACCAGCTGGGCAAGCCAGGGTCGAAACACTCACACGGGTTTCTTTCCGTTACTCTTTTTTCTTTTTTCTTTTTTCTTATTTTTGCTTCTTTCTTTTTTCTTTGGTCCTTTTGGTGTCTTCTCCGGATGGCCCTCTCTATTTCACTGTGAAGCATCAAGATTGAAACAGGGGCTGCGCCTCTCTCTCTCTCTCTCTCTGTCTGGCCCGTGATGTTGACTTCCAATTTCATTTCCACCCCCACATAGGGTGTAGGGGGAGCGGAGGGCCCCAGACTCTTATCGTTGATTTCAATTGGCTTGCGGACCCATCGGGTCCTTTTTATGTGAGTATACCTTTCTTAGGGTAAGTAAGCCTGTGACCTACCCCACCAAGTTTTTGATAAGTACGGACAGATGAAGGTACTGGGTAATGTGATCGGAACGGTTTTATGATGTGAAGGCAACAACTTTACAGCAATTACGGACCCCCCCCCCCCCCCCCCCCC